TGGAGGACGCCGGGAGGAGCCATGCCCGTGGTTCCCGGAGGCCGTGGGAGAGGCGGGGAAGGTCCGTGAGCGTGTGGCGTGATGTGACTGTACTTAGCCGGACATTTATCTGGCTGTGTGGGGCCGTGGGCTCTTGTCTGTGTAAAATGATTTTGTTGATGCGCTTTTTTATGTTTCAGTTGAACGTGGGTGCGAACGTGCGTGACTGTGGGATCGTGAGTGAATGAGAAACTCGGTGGATGGAAGTAGGTATGGTTGTGTGTGTAGATGTGTGAGACTGTTTGTACCAGACTGTTTGGTTATGGTAATTAGAAATATGTTTTTCTATGAGACATTAGTAGCCCCAACATTTTAATATTTATTTTTACACCACTCCCCAAATGGCAAAATACAGAAAAGTTCAAACTAAAATCATTCATAATTCCACCAACCGTGCAATCACTGTCAAAATTTGCTTCCCATCCTTTCACCCCTTCCTTTGTGAATACATATGCATGCATTCATGTGCTTTTATATATGTGCATAATGTCTTAAAATTGCAATTGCCCTATACATACCATATACATAGTATTGTAACCTACATTTCTCATTTAACAATACATGATTAATGTCTTTCCATGTAAACAATTCCAAATCTATGCTGTCATTTTAAAGTTTTTCATGGTATATGTTTTAATGCATTCGTCCATATTGATGGGTAATTTGGTTCTTTCCAACTTCTTGCCATTATGAACAGTGTGTTTATCAGCAACTATTTTGCACATGTTATAATGCATTTTTCTAATTTTTGGAGAGGTGGGATGGTGGGAGGCTCCTAGAAGTGTAATTGATAGGTCAAAATGTGTGTGCTTATTAGGGGCTTCCTAAATCTATCCAGTTGTTCTCCTGTAAGGTTCCAATAATTTACAGTAGTATTGACATAGTATAAGACTGCCTATATCAATACACCCTTGATAACAATGAATATCAGAAATATTAGTAATCTTTGTTAATCTCAGAGGTATAAAATAATTTCTTTAATTTGCTGTTTCCTACTGAAGTCATACATTTTTAAATCTCGTTTGTGAATTATATGTTTTCTAAAGTAGAGTTCTGTTTTCAAATTTCTTTTCCAGAGTTCTTCATGTGTAAAGGATTCATTCATTCATAGACTTACCAATTATCGAATGCTGTCTGTGTAACAGGCACAATTCTAGGTGCTTGGGATATAGCAGTGAACAAGAGACAAACTCCCTGTTATTATGGTGCTTACATTGTTGTGGGCCAGATAATAAACAAGGTAAGTAAATTAAATATGAAATAAATTAAATGGTAAAAAAAAAACCACTAAGAGAAAAAGTAAAGAGGGAGGATATTTAGAATTAGAGATTAGAGTTAGAAATTTCCACGTGGTAGCTAGGCAAGGTGTCTTGAAAAGGTAGTAATAAAGATATGAAGGAAGTAAAGTTATGCATATAACCGAGGAAAGGTTATTCCAGGCAAAGAGAACAACAGTTGTAAAGGCTTTGTGGTGGCAACATGCCTGTTGCAATGAAGAGGCTGGTGTGGCTGAAATACAGCAAATAAGGGGGAAAGTAGTGGGACATGAGAGAAGAAAGGTAAGCAGAAGAGAGGAGGGCAGATCAGATTGGGACTTATGGCTCTTAGTATGATTTGGGCTTTTACTTTGAGCAAGATGGGAAGCTGTTGGAGAGTTTTGAGCATGGGAGTGATATTATTATCTGGTTACAATTTAAGAGGATAGCTTTGTCTGCTCTAATGAGAATGGACTACAGGAGAAGAAATGAGAAAGGGCGGGAGGGCAAGGAAAAAAGCAGAGAGGCCAATTAGGAAACTGTTGCAATAATCTAGGGAAAAGATATTGGTGACCCGGACCAGAGTAGTAAAAATGGGGAGAAATAGTCCTGTACTAGATATAGTTTAAAGGTAGAATTGCTACCATTTGCTGACAGAACTCATGTGGAGTGTGAGTGTGACAAGATGACACAATATTTTTTAAGAATGGAATTATAATTAACTGAGAAGGGAAGGAATGTAGGTAAAACTGACTTGGGGTGTAGGGGGATAGTGTGACTTCAGTTTGGAAAATAGTATGTCAAGTTTGAGATGCCTTTTAGAAATTCAAGTGGAGGTATCAAGTTGGCAGTTGGATATACAAGTCTGAAGTTCAAAAGAGAGATCTAAGATCTAGGATGGAGGCATATATTTGGGAATTATGAGCTTATAAATGATATTTAAAACCATGAGGCCGAATGAGACCACTTAGAGGGTAGAGTAGATAGGAAAAGGTGGAGATAAAGGACTGATCTGTGGGTTGCTTTACCATTAAAAAGTCTGAGAAATAAGGAGGAATTAAAAGAGACTGAAAGGGACCAGCTAGAAAGATTAGAGGAAAGTTAGGTGAATGTGATATCCTGGAAACCAAGGGAAGGATGTGTTTTAACGAGAACCATGTCAGGTGTTACTCAGGCCAAGTAAAATGAGGACTGAGAAAGGAACATTGAATTAAGCAACATGAAAGTTATTAATGACCCTGAAAGCAGTTTTAGTGGAATATGGTGCCAAAGAAAGAACTGAGAAAGAAAAATTGGAGATATCAAGTCTAGACAACTCTTGAAGAAATTTTTCTGTAAATGGAAGAAGTAAAGGGGAATGGTAGCTGGAGTTAAGAGGTAAGTCTGTTTATATACTGATTGAAATGGTCCAATAGAGATAGAAACTTGATGATACAGGAGAGAAATACTATAGTCATGTCCCTGAGTAGCCAGAGCAAACGGGATCTAATGTCAGGTTGCCGTAGCTTGGAACTTGACCACAGTAGTAGCAGGGGGGAAGGGAGAAGTACCTGGGCACAGATACAGGTAGATGAGTAGATGTGTTGGTGAGAGCTTGTGAACCTTCTCTTTTGATTGCTTCAACATTATAGCGAAGTAGAAAGTGAGAGACTCAGCTGACAGTAAGGTTGGTGGAAGAGGTGTTGGAGGTCTGAAGAGAGAAGAAAATAGAAAATAAACCACTGAAGAGAGCAGGACAGAGAATAGAGAAATATACAGTTGTCCATTGGTAACTGCAGGGGACTGGTTCCAGCACCCCCATGGATATCAAAATCCGTGTATGCTCAAGTCTCTTATATAAAATGGTGTAGTATTTGCATATAACCTATGAACATCCTCCCTTATACTTTAAATTATCTCTGGAATACTTATAACACCTAATACAATGTAAATTCTATGTGAATAGTTGTTATACTATGTTATTTTTTAAAATTTGTATTATTTTTATTATCGTATTGTTATTTTTTATTGCTTTTTTTTTTTTACTCAAATATTTTCCATCTGCTGTTGGTTGAATCTACGGATGTGGAACTGCAGATATGGAGGGCCAATTGTAATGTGATTTTCAGGCAGCATTTAAGACCCATTTAATGTTAGTATTCATGAATTTAAAGTGAGCCTATTCCATGTAGTTGTGTGATTTTTCTCCTGTAATGTTCGTCTGCACAGTTGCAGCCACATACAGGGTAGGGGAGAGAGCTGGATTTAGCCAGTGTTGGTTTCGTGAAGCAAATAGGAATAATGTGAAAGAGAGGCAAAGGGAGCCTACGTTAGCAAGAACTGACTATATTGTTTGACTGTGGATTTTAGGCCAGGTAAGTAGAAAAGTGAGGATAGGAAGGGGATAAGGGACAGTGAAAAATGGGTAGAATCAAGGAGTGGAAGTTTCTGATGTTGGGTTGTGATACTAGAGGAAGTAAGATGGGGAGATAGAAGGATATTTTTTCCTTTGGTCGCCATATGTTCTAAAAATAGAACAATCCTCCTTCTTACCAACATACAAGTTTTAGAAAAAATGGATGAGTATTAGCTAGACTCATTATTTTAGCAGGGGTTACAAAATGGTTATATTTGAATTCTGTCATTCCTTCTTCATTTACTAACTAGAATATTTTACTAAAGAAAAAATTTCCCTCATCAACTGTCTGGTTACCCTTAGGTACATAATGTACAGGAAAGGTAGAATAAATTGATGCTTTCCCTTGATAGGTTTTTGGGCTATTGAGTGGATTGCTAGCATCTCCTAACCAGTTGTTATTATTATTACCATTATATACTCACTGATTTTAACATATCTGATGTGCTTCAAACCATTGCTGTTTCTTTCTGAAGCTCAAATTTGCCCATCTTTGGCCACTTCTTCAAGATGGCTTCTAAGTCCTTTTAACACACCTTTCATAGTCTTTGATAGTCTCCTACATTTTTGGTATGACAGCATATCCCGGGCTCATTTTGAACATTTCCTGCCCTAGGCATGAAATCAGTCTTTTCTTTATGGTGCCATGATTTCTTTTAGTGGGAAATGATATTTTGAGGTTATATTTATAGTGGTTATTGCTATTGGCATAGTCATTGTTTCTAGGGTTTTTGCATGAGTGTGTGGACAGAGCTAGGAAATGTTTTCTTTTTATTTTTTTAACAGCTTAAGCTATAATTCATTTACTATACATTTTACCCATTTGCAGTGTATAATTCAGTGTTTTTTAAAAAATATATTCATAGGGTTGTGAAATTATCACCATAATATAATATTAGAGCATTTTCGTCCCCCCTAAAAGAAACATTCTACTCATTAGCAGTCAATGCTGTATGTATTTCCCTCCCTCTCACCAAGCCTAATCAACCACTAATCTGTTTTCTGTCTCTATACAAATATATTCATAGGGTTGTGAAATTATCACCATAATATAATATTAGAGCATTTTCGTCCCCCCTAAAAGAAACGTTCTACTCATTAGCAGTCAATGCTGTATGTATTTCCCTCCCTCTCACCAAGCCTAATCAACCACTAATCTGTTTTCTGTCTCTATAAATTTGCCTATTCCAGACATTTCATACAAATGAAATCATACAATTTGTGGCCTTTTTTGACTGACTTTTTCCTTGGCATGCTTTCAAGGTTCATTCACGTTGTAGCAGGAAATATATCCTTAACAAAATAGGTATCATGAGTTCATACTGCTATTTCCAATCTCTATAAATTTGCCTATTCCAGACATTTCATACAAATGAAATCATACAATTTGTGGCCTTTTTTGACTGACTTTTTCCTTGGCATGCTTTCAAGGTTCATTCATGTTGTAGCAGGAAATATATCCTTAACAAAATAGGTATCATGAGTTCATACTGCTATTTCCAGTGTTAAAAATTTGGAATTACAGGATTTTAACTTTGGCTTTATTTTTATATCTTTTATTTGC